AGATGTGGTGCTTGAGGACATGGTTTAGTGGTGGCCTTGGCAGTGCTGGGTTAACGGTTGGGATCGATGATCTTAAGGGTCTTTTCCAACCTTAACGATTCTGTGATTCTAAGCCAGAGAGCAAAGCATCCACAGCTCCAGCGGACCTGCAGCAAGGAGCAACCAGGGATAATCGGAGCAGCCGGTGGGCACCGACCTGGCAGTGCTCACCGGAGCCGTGTGATGATCCAGGCAACAGGGCTGATCTGGTTATATTTATCCAGGAAAAAGTTCTTTGGGAACAAAAAAAAAAAAAAATCAGGAAAAAGTGTCCCTCATGGCATGGGGCAAAGGAAGAGGGGTGAAGCCACCCTCTAACCCCACCGCCGTGTGCATGACCGCAGCCGTGCCCCAGCAGGGAGGATGCTGCCAGTCCCCAGGCAGAGCCTGACCCTCGCTCGTCAGCCTAATTAAGTGGCTCTTGCATGCTGTAATTGAGGTAGAGCTGAGGCCCAATTTACACTCATTTACCAGAAGCGGCAGGTATTTGAAATGAAGCTGCCCGGTTTGGTTCCTAGGGATGGCCTGAGAAAACCAGCACAAACCCTGCACTGCCCGGCCCAGACGAGGTTTCCTACAGGTTACTGAGCCCAGTATAGGTTATGCTGAGCCCATATAGGTTATACTGAGCCCAGATGCAGGCAGGAGACCTCTTGGGTGCTGAGTGCCGTGTAGACAGAGCTCCTCTACCGTCTCCCCGAGGGTGGTGGATGGTGCCAGCTGCTCCATGGCCAGGAGAAACCCTTTGGTGAGCAGTGATGGAGGAACCTGCCTGGGACGAGGTCCCTGCTGTCCCTCACCCAGTAATCTCTACCCAGAGCGTGGTGCAGTATATTTCTTTTAAAAAGAGTTTTTGAAATAACCACAGAGCTGCCTCACCCCTGTCAGTGCTGCCTCGCCCTGGCCCCCGGCTGAGCTTTGCCTGGGGCAGGGAGATTTGGAGGTTAACCGTGATACGCAAGAGGGAGTTTCTTTGGAGAGAGGTTTGATGGAGATGCAAGGTGGAGATGAAGCAGTCCCATCCCAAGGAGCTTCCCACCCAGAGCTGATGCTGCCGCCTGGTCCCTTCCCAGGACACACGGAGGGCTTTGCCCTGGTTGCTGCAGCAGAGCAGATGCTCCGGGATGGATTGGGTGTGCTCTGCTCCTACTGCTGCCGTTGTCCTTGCACTGAAGTTGGTCCTAGCAAACGGGGTTTGGTGCTGAGCGTACCCACCACGAAAGGAAGATGTGGAAGTCTCCAAAGATGCCATTTGCATGATGTGACTATCTCATCCTTCCGTAGCTTGCTTTACCTCCCAGACCCATTGCACCCCCAGGCCCTGGCTGCCTCCGCGCAGCATTGCATCTTCTCCGGTGTCAGCTTCTCCCCCACCATCAGGTGTTACGCCACTGCCAGCTCTCAGTTGTTGCGGATCAGGCTTTCTGCTGCCTTTTAGTTATCCCTTTACTGCAGCCCTGCTTTGGGATGCTGTCATAAAAGGCACCCCATAAATTTTATATTGAACAGTAAAACGTTTTCACCTTGGCTGCTGTTCCCCCTCACTCACTGCAGCAACACAGCCCAAAGGGGTGAGCTCCAGTTAGGCAGGAGCCAAGCACCCTATCTCGGCTGCCAGCTTCTGGCAGAGAAAACCAGGATGACATTGATTTTTGCTTGTTTGGTTGGAGGAATAAGCCTGGAGGTGCTTCACCTTGCACTGGTCCTGGAGCAGCACCAGTGTCTGCTATCCAGGGGACACAGCCACAGGCGGCACAGGACAGCTTGTCTCCACCCAAGGAGACCCAGAAGCCTCCCCCCTGCTCCCTGCAGTGAGGCAGGAAGGGTTCTTACCCATCTGAAGTGATCCCTGAGCCAACAGGGATATCAGGGGTGGGCTCAGCTCTCCCTTCAGATGGCAGAGCTGCCACCATGGGTTTCTTAGGTGGGTTCCTCACCCTTCCCCATCCATTCATCTCCATCTATCTCTTTATCCATCCGTCTATTTATCCATCCGTCCATCCATCCATCCATCCATCCTTCCCCAACCATCTTTTCCTGTCCATTCTTCTCCATCCATCCATCCATCCATCCATCCTTCCCCATCCATCCTTTCCTGTCCATTCTCCATCCATCCATCCATCCAGCCATCTTTTTATCCATCCATCCATCCATCCATCCATCCATCCATCCGTCCTTTCCCATCCATCCTTCCTTGTCCATTATTAGGAAAAACTTCTTCACCGAAAGGGTGGTCAAGCATTGGCACAGGCTGCCCAGGGCAGTGGTTGAGTCTCCATCCCTAGAGGCATTTAAAGAACAGATAGATGTGGTGCTCGAGGACATGGTTTAGTGATAGACTTGGCAGCCTAAAAAGGGCCTTTTCCAACCTTAACGATTCTATGATTCTATGATTCTTCTCCATCCATCCATCCATCCATCCATCCATCCATCCATCCATCCTTTCCCATCCATCCTTCTCCAGCCATAACCTTTTGGGCCCTCTGGCTTCTCCTTCCCTGCAGTGGTATGGGAGGGAGAAGACATCAGCTTTACCTTGGTTTACTCTGAATGCTGGCCAGCGTCAGGGACCTTCATTTCTCCCAGGACTGTACAAAACCATCCCAGACATGCACAGGGGCCACGTGGGCTGGTGACCAACCTCCGCACGGAGCACTGCCTGGTGACGTGTGGCCGAGGAGGGGCAGAGGGACTTGCTGTGGGGCTGGACGGGGCTGCAAGCGGTGGGTAATCTCCTGCAGTCGTGTCAGTGATACGCCAGACCCGTCCGTCCCAGGAGCCTGCCCTAATGACCATACCTCCCCATGGGGGACCTCTTAGAGGCTGCTTTCCCCACGGGGGCATCTCTGGGGATTAACCCTTTTAATTGGATCAGCAGCCACGGATCAAAAGCCAACATTTCGCGGTTGGTGGCATCGCCTCCCTCGCCCCGCTCCTCCTCCCTGCGTCCCTTTGCCTCTGCAGGAATCACCCCGTTTCCACCCCGAGCCGTGAAGACGGGGTTGATTTGGGGCAAAGCTGGCACAGTGCCGTGGCACCTTTCATCTCTTGCGACACTGAGTTTGCAGGGCAGGGCTGGGCTTTCTGCAGAGGGTTTGAGGGGGCTGCTCCCAGGGTCCGCAGGGGACGTTCCCCAGGGGCATCCCACGTGTCTCACGGCATCCATCCCACCATGGCTGGGGGACCAGCAGGGACGGCGTCCTTCCCCGTGCGTGCAGGGCTGAGGCCACCCTGCCCTGCCATGCATAAAGCGTCCATGAACCCTCACTGACGATTGCATTTACTCCCCTTACCCCCAGGTAGCTCAGC